GACCCTTGATAAAAAAAAGGGATTAGATTTAAGTTTACCTTTGATCCAGTCTGTATACTATTTCTTTGGATTTGTGCACGTGTGCAAAAACTACATTAAAACACTATATCTTATAGAAAATAAAATATTGTGCCTTGAATTTGAGGGATTTCATCTGAAAAATTATTAATTTGGAAGAAAACCGGCAACAAGCGGCAGAAAATAATAATATTTCCGTGCAGTCTTCTGGTCGGAACGACCAACGGACGGCCAGGACGTTAGTGTGTTCGAGCCCTAAGGGAATCGCACTTTTTTTCTTGGCGCGTACACTGAGCCGTACCGAACGCGTCGCACGCGCCGCATTAGGCTCCGCGCGCACTGCGTCGGATCGGACCGACCAGCAAAAGCGACTGCGACCATCGTACATATAGACGGCGCCGGCGTCCACTAAAACATTTCGGCCTGTAGAGGCCAGATTCCTACCTCTACCTATCTACGATAGTCGAGTCACCGCCTTCGCCGTTTCTCGCCGGACTGGTACCGATTCAGTGCGCGTACACCTTTAGGCTCCGCGCGCACTGCATCGGATCGGACCGACCAGCAAAAGCGACTGCGACCATCGTACATATAGACGGCGCCGGCGTCCACTAAAACATTTCGGCCTGTAGAGGCCAGATTCCTACCTCTACCTATCTACGATAGTCGAGTCACCGCCTTCGCCGTTTCTCGCCGGACTGGTACCTTAAAGGTGTGCTTAAAGGTGTACGCGCACTGAATCGGTACCAGTCCGGCGAGAAACGGCGAAGGCGGTGACTCGACGATCGTAGATAGGTAGAGGTAGGAATCTGGCCTCTACAGGCCGAAATGTTTTAGTGAATTTCTCATCAGTCGCTTCCAGAGCCCTGTCTGCGGTGATTAGCGTATTTTTTAATATTTCTCGACAATGAATGATAACGAACGAGAAATAATTATAAGCTCCTTACTAATAGAAGAAGAAGAAGAAATCACGAGAAAGAATCGAAAGTTATAGGTTGACAATATTTGCAAAAATCTACATTATTTCCATATTTAATTGAGGACGAACTAAATTTTTTCTATATGAGCCATGAAAAATTTGCGAACTTTCTTAGCACAATGAATTTCTCCTCTTCGACTACCTACGTAGAGTGGAAGGAATTGCGTGTGACGTCAGCAGCACTAGCCACATTTATCGAAAATCATTCTGGCCCAATCTGTGCGCACCTTCATTGAAAGTAACACCACAGATTAAGTATACTATATGTATACAGATAAAAATCTTATCCCTAATTCGGGGTACAAAAATTGTTTTTTATGACGATGTGCAAACGAGTAAAATTTCCTGTGCGCAAAAATAAACTCGCGTAAAATAACAATAAACAGCGTAATAGAGAGATATCGCTAAACCGAATAGCGTGCATGGACGTTAATACGGCCAGGTGTTATTTCCTTTACGTGAGGTGGTGTTAACTCTCTTCATTTATAGTTATCGGATCGGAAAGAATTCTGTTCGCGTCGCGTCCGCTATTTAAACTTAACCTAACTTTGAATTTAAAACTTTGAAATTGTTTTGTTTACCAGGTATTTTAAAACTAAAGGGCTAAAGTGCTTATTTCCAGTGCTTTATTGTTCAACGTCTGCCAGTGGGTTTAGAGCAACAAGCAACAAATAATTCTCTTAGAAGGGCTAAGTCGTCATCTGCTGTAAACCTAAAGCTTGTTTCATGTAGACGCGAATTGCGAATTGCGGAAAGCGATTCGCCAAAAAATATTCGCAAAAATTGGACCTATTTCATACAGTCGCGAATTTTTAGGGACATTTCATTTTTGCTCCACTGAAAGTTACCAAAAAAATCATAACCTGAGATAACTTAATTTCATTTTTATTCGTGCTTACGACCTTTATTTTATATTTTATAGCATATACTATACTTATCCAACAAAGAATAATATGACTTTTCTAATATTTTCTTCGTGATTGCATGATCTCATATACCCTTTTTCTGGTTGATTTTATCTACTCATTTTTCATCAGGCAGAAGAAAAATATCTATGCTTCGCATTCATCCTTGGTATAAACTGGTTTTCTAAACCATACTTTATGCAATACTTATCTATATACGTATATCTCTACGTCCACTCACACATATCTTCGCTGTAAACATATAAAACACGCTTTTTGCTTAGATATTTTCTTGTATTTTATTAAAATAGTCTCGGCATTAAGTACCGGGAACTAGCAAGGCGTGGCAAGAGAAATTTTCGTGAAATAACACTAGATTTTTTCGAGTTAAAGATCCCGTAATCACGTACTTGCTAAGTGCAGATAAAAAATAACTTATTTACTGACAGTATAACTTTGACTTGATTTTTTTTAAATTGTAGTTTATTTTGTATATTTTTTTAATGTCGCTTTTAACAGTTTCTTTTAAACACACTACCTAAAAAAGAAATTTGACCAGTGAAATTTACACACCAAATTTATTTTATTTTGAAAACCATTTCTGGAAATAGTCGATAATATTGTGATTTTGATTTGCCGTATACAGGGTGTCCCAATATTCCGTGGACATAGAACTACTACGTATTTTTGGAATCAAAATAAGTTCACTGGATACAATTTACCTCTATGCAAAAGTGCTTCGTTTGTCCGCAAGAGGGCATCAAATTTTAAAAAAATAAACACATTTTTTCACATATTTTAAGAATCGTTATTCCGATTTGAATGAGATTTTGGGTGTCTATGTTTTGCTAAGTGCTCTAACATTTGAATTTCACAAAAATCAAGAAAAAGTACGGGAGGGTCAAAACTACCCCCATCCCTACGTGAATTTTAGTATAAATATTTTCCGACTCCACCGAAGGCCAAATTTCTTTTCGTACAATGGTCCCTCTAGTATTTAGTACATTTTTTGTCTCTTATAAAAAAACGCCACCGTGCATACTTTTTGAGGAAAAATAATATTTTTCCAAAGCTGACTTTGATTCCATTGATCGATTTGACAAAAAATGCTTTTTGTTTAGGTTAGGTTAATGGCTCAACTTTCGTTTAGCTGAAATCTGTTATATAAAAAATGACTTTATATATGCGTTCTAGAAGGCGTTAGGAGTACAAATATACAAAAAATTTCCTGCGGAAATGCGTCATTTTCATTTTTTTGGACTTTAGTATAGCCGAAATCTACATCAAAACTAGTCTTCGGGGTGTGTTTTAGACATTTTTCTAAACAGAAAAACGCAAAAAAGTGTCTGCGAAAATTTTTTATTTTTATTTTACATAAAAAAATGCTTTGATTTGAGAATAGCCGAAATCAGTTACATGAAAAATAAACTTATTTTGTTTTATACGAGCCTTTACGAGCAAAGAAAAACAAAAAAATTCCTGCAGAAATGTGTCAATGTCATTTTGTGCACTTTTCATACATTTTTCAGTTGAGAAGCTTACGGGACCCAGGAGCGAATAGGGGTGCTGGGTGGGGTAAAACATCTTTCCGAGGAATAACAATTCTTGTAGAATAGATAATATAGGTTCTTGTAAACTATAAGTACCTCGGAATGTTGCACTTATTCTTGTTTTTTTATTAAAGCTTTACATAGGGCTGATTCAAAACAAAAAATCATTGGATCATGCAGTTTTCATTTATATTTTAATAATTAACTGTGATTTTGCAAAAATATTAGATTGGTTAGCATTTGGGTTGATTTGGTTAGCTTTTCTTTGTGGAGGGTGTTAAACTGTGGTTTTTATATTTTAATAATTAACTGTGATTTTGCAAAAATATTATTAGATTGGTTAGGATTTGGGTTGCTTTGGTTAGCATTTCTTTGTGGAGGGTGTAAAGCTGTGTTTTTATATTTTCATAATTAACTGTTATTTTGTAAAAATATTATTAGATTGGTTAGCATTTTAGACACTTTTAAATGATGTTTTTCGGTTCAAAAGTGATAAAAAGATAATTTTTTATGTATTTATGCTTACAAAAATGGAAAATGAAAATCAAGCAGTAATTCCGCAGGAAATTTTTTATTTTCCTGAGTTTGTATCTTTATTTTCCTCAATTAGGTTAACCTAATTCCAGGTTAATTAATTAATTGTTTTTTTACATAATGAGTCTATTTTTATCTGCATACATACTTATTACCTACTTATCGATTGTGCTACCTCAACAGTGTTTTTTTTTACTTTTAAGAGCAAAATATCTTGCGTAGAAAAATCGTTTTCTTATAACCAGTGATTAGTAACATTTTGATAAAGATTTTACAACACTGCTAAGTTTCATTTTCAACACAACATTGTTATCCCTTAATTCGATATATGTTTCCTTTGTTTCCAATAGTTAGTATTTCCCTTTAATTTATCTCCGCTTTGGTTCCTTCTTCAGTCAAACCACAGACAACTTTTTTTCTCCTTAAACTCATTTAGTTTTTTTTATTTTGTACATAATTTTTTTTATATATGAAATATTAAATTTGGGAACAGCAAAAAATGGAATGTTACGTATGTTACGTATCATTCCTTCCTTGTCAATGCAATCTCATCTTGCATTTCTTTAATAACAGTCGTTTAGTTGGCTCTATTTTTAGCAATATAACATATGATATTCCTGTATACTACAAAGAAAAGACTACATACTACATCTAACCTTTCGCCGTCCAAGAAAAATTTGGCCTTTCATTCAATTGCTTAGTTGTCATTTAATTTTGTTGGCTTCCGGAATAAAGAAGTAAAAATATCAAAATTGTCCGGTTGATAAGAGACACAGAAATACTGAAGTGTCCGATTTGGCGCCGCACCGTGTCCGAATTAGTAAAGTTCTACTGTATTTTCAAAGTTAAACATAATTCCAGCAATATTGAATTGATTGGGCCCATAGTTTTCTCACCAATAATTTCGGCAGTCGATATTATTTATAATAAGGGCTTTGTTCGCTTGCTGGATATCCTTTTATTTATTCTTTTTTTCTTTACTAAACATTAATTTTGCGAAATATAACGTAAACTTAGTTGTTTCAGATAGTTTGGAACAAAAATCCAGGGTTAAGCGACCTAGGGCACCACCGACAGAGCCAGAAAATGACGTAGATGGGGATCTGGACGAGAGAAATAATGAACTGAGTACCAGTTTTGTTCCTCCTGGATTTCTGAGCCCATCAGTGCTAGAATATTTGGAATTGGGAAAATCAATACCAGGTAAAAATTAATGTTCATAAAATATGCGTTAAATAAGTTTGTAATAAGTGAAAAAACTATCTAGTAAGTACTGAGTTATCAAAAAAAATCAAAATCGGTTTAGTATGGCCGTTATTACCCACTATCAAATTTCTTTGTCAAAGATCTTTTATAAAAGATATTTGATGAAAAATTTGACAGTGTTAATATGCAATATTTTATAAAGGTCTTTGAATAAAAAGATTAATAAAATCAGTGTTAAATTTTTTGATGAAATAAAATCTTTGAGAAAGAAATTTGATAGTGTAATAGTAGCCTATAACCAATAACAAAAAAAAATATTTTGAAATATATAGAGGGTGTCCCAGAAATAAGTGTAAATATTTTTAGGGTGTGGTAGATCTGGTCAAAAGAAACATATTATCTCTTTACCATTTTTAAAATAACTTGATAATAATCGAGTTATTTACATTTGAAAATTAAAAAAAATAATACCAACATTTTGAGAGCCGCCGCCAGCAGTCGATAATCAGTTGCAAATATGACACTTAGATCATATACAGGGTGTCCCAGAAATAAGTGCAAGTATTTTAAGGGGTTGTAGATCTCGATAAAAGAAACACATTTTCTCTTTATCGTTTTTCAATTGAGTCCAAAATAACGGAGTTATTTTACTTTTAAAATTTTCAAAAAATTTCGAATTTTCAAAATTTTTTTTTCGCGAAAAAACTCATAGGGGTGTTTCTGGGGTTGAGATTTCTGGGACATCCTGTATAAACTTCATTATTAAGCATGCTCAGTTGATTTTGCATACACTTTTGTAATATATAATTTCGTTTTCATTCTTTGATAGATTATTATCGATAGAATTTTAATTAACGTCATATTTTTTGCTGTTTTAACATGTTAAAGAAGCACCAAATTTATTCATGCTATGGAAAGAGTGTTAATAGTTATCGGAAAATGTGATACTTTAACAAATCAAAAAATATGACATTAATCAAAATTAATTATAACTAAAATTATAACCTATCAATGAATGAAATCGAAATTATATTACCATCAGGGCCAGTCAACTGAGATATACGACCTTGAACGATCTTTTTTTGGGGTAGTAATTTCCTGGGGCGCTAGATGGCGCATTTTTATTTTGATTTTTCTAGTTGCCTAACAATTGCGTCCAAAATTGTTTATATAGTTGCCTAAATAGGCCTATTAATTATGTTCTGTCATTGTTCTGTATGTCAAATCAGTTTTCCGTTTCCGGCTTCCTCCTTCCTCTTCAGCTGTCTTCAGTTGTGTTTTGCAATTGAACGGAGATGTGCGTTTCGCTGTTTTCTGGTTGTTTGGCTGTGTTTTTTGCAATCTTCATTTTACAATCGTGATTTTGTATTTTTGAATTTTTTGAACTTTGTTTTGTGTTTGATTTTTAAGATCTTTATTAAAGGTAAGGTTTAAGTTAAAGGTCTTTGATTTATCTAACAATTTTATTTAATAATCCGAGAAAGTGAGGTGAGGTAACCTAACCAAGTCCAAATATTCGTGAATTTTATTTTTTAACAATGTAATATTTACAACGCCATATATTTTTACAAAAAAAATTGATCAACTCCATATTTTTGTACATAAACTCCACAATGTGATATTACACAATTGTTCAAGTCCATATGTAAAAAATACACGTAAATAAAACATTGTTTCTAATGGACGTCACTTTCTCTTGTATTCCAACGATTGATCCTGGTACTATAATAAATATTATACTTTTTAATCTGTTGTTTTATTTGTTTGTAAAATGTTTCATAGTATAATTTTCTGTAAATTAAAATAAATTATTTATTGTAGGTTTTTATGCACATAAAATGATATAAGCAAACCATTTAACACTTTACAATAGTTTAACCTGGTTTAACCTTTATATATAAATCCTTGTTTTTTACCATTTGACTTGTTTGCCAACTTGGGACCAATCAGATGACTATACATTATTTTGTAGAAATCTGGCTCTAACTGGCGAACAAGTCAATACGTCTTGCTTAAAAATAAATTGCATCTATTTAAATTTGCCGCCACCTTTGTTACTTTCCTGGGTGGCTAGATGGCGCCACTTCAGTATACAGATTACAGATTTCTTTACAAATTTGAAACCGTTTTGAAACTAAAAAATGCAAAGCGTTGCTTTAGAGTGTTCTGTGATATGAGCCGTTTCACATTGGCGCGATCGAGTTTTGGAGACAAAGCGGCGTTCTATTCTGCGGTGGCGATCAGATTCAACTTGTCGAGTTTGATCGCGTGATCGCGACCCAACTGATAGGAATTTTCCGTTATTTTGTGTGTTTTTTCTTGTTGCAATTTAGAAATGGAGTTAACAGAGCAGCCAATAGGCTGTAAAAATACACAAAATTCTATATGATTTTTCCGATCCAAGTTACAAAGATAATAGAATTAAAAATTAAAAGTTTGAGACAAAATTGGAGTTGCATTTGGATTGGATAGTACATATATATACATTTTTATTGTTTAAGTTTAAATATTGTAGGTAAATATTTAAGAATGTTTTTTTTTTCGGTATACATAATTCACATTTTTATTTGTACCTATGTATACCTACAGGATAGCTCACTACATATAGGTACGGCGGTGAACGTGAACGCGTTGGTGTGTGCCAGAATGATCGCTCATGTTATCGCTGCCCGGATCGTGATCGTGTCGCGGCCGTGATCGCACCAGTGTGCGTGTAGCTTTAAGCTTCATTCAGAACCTCGAAATCAGTGGAATAAATTAGTAGTTTCAATTTGCCGTAGAAGTGTGTTTACCTAATTTTAATGTAAGCATTCAGAACGTCATAATTAGTGATAGTTTCTTTTCCACTAATTATAGTTCTTTCCACTAATTATACTTCAAAATTTGCGAGGAATGTCATTTTGGCCTTTAATTATCACCCGTCAAGAAAAATGTTGGTTAGAAATCAAAAGTTTATTGTTTTATAAGCTAAATATTATGCTTTCTCTATGGATACAACAGACTACCGCAAGCTGTTGCTAGGATATTTTATTAATTTTAATTGTGTTTTTTAGACATTGTGAATGATCATAAACTAAAAAGTATAAAGTGTAATTGAAACCACTAATTGGGAGGTTCTGAATGAAGCTTTAGAAAAAATTCAACTACATTTTCGTGTTTTTTTAAATTTTCTCTAAAATGGTATATGGAAATTTGGAAAAGTATAAACGGGATTAACCATTTTAGAAGAAGCAAAATTTTTTATGGAGAATGCATTTTTCTCAAAATGTGAATATTAAAAAAGTTTTTTCTCTTGTAAAGACATCGGTGACATACTGTAGGGTAGAAGCACCGGTTGTGGCCAGGTTAAGGCATTTTTAGAGTTTGACTTATCAGAAAAAATATTTGTAGTTAATTTTGGAGATAAAACAAAATTTTTGGTGCTTCTCCAAACATTTTTCTTTCGAAAATCTGCTTTTATTGTAAAGATTTGTATTCTTAATAAACAGAAAATAATTATTTTATGAAAACATACGATTTTTGCCACTTGTGGCCACCTTGTGCCAAATGTGGCCACATTTGCTACCATTTGTGGCCACATTCTTGCAAAAATATTCTCTATATTGAATTTCGCAGATAACTAAGCAAATAATAATATTTTATTTATTACTTTCTTTAAAAAAAAGACATAAAAAGAGACATTTGGTACTTAATTGTTTATATTTTTAACAAAAAAAAACATGAACGTTTATTCTTAAAACAAATCAAGTGATACCTAATACCTTATTTTGTTTTTTATCTGTTATACAAATGTTAAATAAAAATTTGGTACATATTAATACTACTGTGAGGAACAATAAGAAAAGTACACTAATTTATCAGAATATTCTTGAATATTTGTTAGTTCAGGTAACTACCATATATTTCTCTTGAATTGACTTTTTTAGATTCATCAATTTTCATTGTTATAACACTCAGTTTGTACGCAAGTTATTTTTACTTCCAATTGCCGCAGATTTGAACCATTGTGCAGCTATAATATTCAACATAATATTCATTATTTTCAATTTGTAATATTTTCCTGGATTCAACTGATTCCCGTACTTTAAAATAATAAAATTTCCTATATTTAATTCAGCAGATGTCACAGAAGTTTAAGCTGGCGTTGGTTTATCTTTTTTATTTCTACTAGAAAGATCTTTATTTTCTTTAAATTTTATTTTAATTATTTTCTTTTTTGTAAAGTTTTCATTGCCAGTTTTTGTTTTTTTCTCCTTTCCCTTCATTAATTCAATCCACTTATCATACGTAATAACTGATGGTAGATGTAGCCTCTTTCTTTTTAAAGATTAACATCTTCCCGGGCATCATCCTTAAGTTCATAATTATGTCAACTAGTCCTTTTCCTGCATGGATTGGTCTAGTGGTCCTGAATCATCTTCCTTTGAATTCTCATAATTTTTATTTTTATCGCATTCGTTCATATTTATTCCATTTATATTATATTATATTTATTATATTATATTTATTATATTTTTTCCCTATCTATATTATTTTCTATAATCGTTTTCTCATCTGAAGGAAAACTTGATGACGGTATATGTTCAGATTGGTAATCTTGGCCGATAATTGTATGTGGGATATTATTATAATTAGATACTATTTATTATTCAGTTTTTATTAAAAGCTGAATAATAACAAATAAAATGTTCTTCATATTATGTTGTCCGTCGTTTGCACTTACATTATAAAGCTAAATAATATGTGGCCACAACTAGATTTCGATTGGTCCATTTTTGGCCATAACCTGGCTACAAGTAGAACATAATTAAAATTTAATTACACCTTTTGTGGCCACAGAAATAAATCTTAAATATTAATTATTTGAATATAATAAATTTAAAAAATAGTTGCCAGATGTATAATATTTATACAAATCATGGAAAATTAAACCCCACTACAGATTATTGTTAATAATTTGAGTTCTACTTACCTAGCTATCCTTAAGAAATGGGTTA